AAAAACGATCTGTCTCGAGCCCTTCGATCCTTTCCCTTTATAAAACGAAGGACTTAAAAGATTTTATATGCAAACGATCTTACAGCTTTTGAAATTATCTTTAAAACAAAAGTTCATTGATAAAATTTTTGCTGAAAATTTTATTAAAATAAATCTTCGTAATTTCAGTTCTGGAATAATTATTATATGCTATTACTTGCTTTTAAATTTGCATCTTCAATCAATATCGTTTTTTTTTCCCAAAGTAATTAACTTTTTGTATTTTTGGAAAAGTATATCTGTCAAACTTTTTATATGCATTTCTATATAAAATACACCTTTTATTTTGTAATTGCATATACCTATTAGGCATTTTAATATATTAAATACATATGCATGTGTTTTTTTTCATTTATTTAAACTTTCATGTGTTTTTTTTAATTTAGTTTCCGGCTTGTTTCGCGCATCTTTAATTTTCTATTGCGATTTTTTTTTACCTATTTTCATTCTTTTAACTCTCTTTTGTCCCATAGATCTTGTAAAAGCATATAAAAACATGATCCATTCAATTCATAATTCAACCCATAGACAACTGCGACCTTTTACTTTATTAGGAATACTTTTAGGGACTTTCAAAATAAATGTAACAATTTTTGTAGGTATTAGTCAAGTCTCAAATATTCTCCTTCAAAGAATGGCAGTTTCAAATTACCAAAAAAGTCATTCCTGACGCATAACGAGAGCTATACATTAATAATAAACCGCCACCTCCTCCGCATCAAGTATATTTTCCGAGCTAATCCGCTTACCACTTCAAAATTCATGTAAATCCTGTCAGCTGATCGTTGATCTTAAATTTAAGACGAACCGCAGAGCTTCCATTTTAATGACGCCGTCGCCGCGTCCTCATAAGAATCGCGCTAATGCATAATTTAAGGGTGCGATATTAAGACGGAGCGCGAGATTTGAGTGTACGTGTTCCACGGTCCCAGCCGACTGCATATATTATACTCGAAATGCAATATTTTACAAACGCTATAAAACGGATATAAAGTGCGTTTTACGAGCCCGTTTAATGTTGCGGTACGTAGAACGGCTATACGAAGTCGTTCCCTTTCGGTCAGTTAAAATTTATTACATCTGCATCCGGCTGCGTCTAATTACGACCGGACCGATTTCTATTTCGTTAATTTGTCCATAACGTGCTGTTTATAAATAATGGGTTCATATTTTCGCCATCCACACCTTGGGAAAATCGGGGTTCCTCAAGGATCCAATCTGGGGCCCCTTAGTAGAGAGACCTTTATAAACGACATTCATATTATTTCAGGCTTCGTTAATACCGTTTTACTGTCCAAACAGTGTGATTGAGCTAAAATTTAGAACAATTTCTGACTAGTACATTCAATACAAGGTTTTGTGCATACTGAAACCCATTTCCATATCATTAGTTCGCTCATAACTAGCTGTTTATAAATAACGGATTCATATGTTCGTCGTCCGCACGTTGTGACGGTTGGGGATCCCCAAGGATCGAATTTGGTGCCCTTTAGCAGAGAAACCTTTATAAACGACATAAACCTTATTGCAGGACTGGTTTCTCTAACGCTAACAACTGTTTTATTGTCTCCAATTGCAAAAGGGGTCTCTTTGAGCTAAAATTTCGAACAATTCGTGACTAGAATTTCTATGAGTACATCTCATTGAGTTTAACTACAGTAGCATCCAGGAGCTTCTTTAATTTGCCCATAACAAGCTGTTTGTAAATAATAAGTTCTTATTTCACCTTCCCCACGTTGTGGCTACTGGTGTTCCCCAAGGATCAAACTTTGGACCCCTTAGTGGAACTGTTTTTATAAATGACATACATTTTATTGTACAGGGTGGGCAAATAAGCGAGGTAAGCGGCTGTATCTCAGAAACTAGTGATCGTAGAGAGCTACGGTAAATAAATTTATAGGTAAAGTGGGCAAGGGAAAATGCTGGAAATTATTTTCAAGTTTCCAAGATGGCCGCCAGTGGGCGTTTCCACCATATTGAATTACATAAAGTTACGTTTCTCACGATTTTCCCCAATGAATGTAACAAAAAAGTATTTGCGTTTTAATGTTAACTTAAAGTCGAACATTTTTTGTAAAAACAATTTTTCTCTATCTTTCGAAATAAAGTGGTGGGGGGTATTTGAATGTTGTTTGAAATAAATGCCTGTAACTTCGAAACGGCTTAATGGATTTGGATAAATTTGGTATCATTGAAAAGAGCATTTCTTGGGCTTTTAGGTTTCTCGTAATCATGACAGTTGCGACCTACACGGCCGCCGATAGAGGGCGTTATTCGATATTATAACCAAAATATTGGATTTTCTCAAAAAATTTAAATGCGATGATATGACTTTTTTTAGACTAGAAAATAGACAAATGACCAACCAATAAGCCTGCGCAAACCGCATCTTAATATCTTTTTCCTAACTCAAATTATTAAAAAAAAAAAACTAAACCAGGAAAATTCATATATCCCCATTTAAAAATGCATCGGTTGCTTTCGATAAGAAGGCAAGTAGTAGGCCATGGACACGACAATCGCCTAACAAAAATATTGCCAAGTAACGTCAAACTTTTGTCACACGCAGCCTAATATTGTTGATTGCGTATAATTTGAGTACTTTTTAATCAAAATGCCTCTCACAAATAATGAAGCCGTTGACATGATTGCGATTTATTTCGAGTGTTTTCAAAATGCAGCTATAGCTGCAAGACAGTACGCGGCACGGTATCCAGATCGCCGTCATTACGGGAGAAGAATGTTTCCGCGCTTGGTACAGCGATTACGCGATACTGGAAGTTTTCGTCGTCCTAAACGTCGCAGGCGTCGCAATGGAAGGACCGAAGAAAACATTATCAATGTCTTGGCTTACATAGAATTTGATAGACATGTAGGAACTAGAACATTGTCTCTAGACTTGGGAATAGCACGAACAACTGTTAGAAATATTTTGAAAGATTATAGGTAAATAATTTTATCTTATTCCAAGTATCTTAGCACATACTCTCAAATACACAATTCAGTGTTATTCTGATTATATTATTTTTACGCATATGTTGTTTTTTACTTTTAGATTACATCCTTACCACATAGTTTTGCACCAGGCGCTAAATGAACAAGATTTCGATAATAGATTAAATTATTGTCAATGGATGCTAGGCATGCTTGAGGAAAACAGAAATTTCTTAACGGAAATTCTCTGGACCGACGAGGCTACCTTTAGTAGTGATGGTAGAGTAAACCGTCATAATATGCATTATTGGTCCGCTGAAAATCCGCATTGGTTAAGAGAAGTGCAGCACCAGGGACGCTGGAGCCTAAATGTGTGGTGCGGTATCATTGGGGACAGAATTATTGGACCTTATTTTTTTGATCAAGCTTTAACTGGTAACCGCTTCTTAGAGTTTTTGATCAACGACTTGCCAATTTTGTTGGAAGATGTGCCACTCGAAACTAGGAGAACTATGTTTCTGCAATTAGATGGTTGTCCGGCACATTATTCAATTAATGTCCGAAACCATATTAACGGGACCTTTCGAGAACGCTGGATAGGAAGGGGAAGCCTATTTCCTTGGCCGGCAAGATCTCCGGACTTGACATGTCTTGATTTTTACTTGTGGGGACGCTTAAAAGACATTGTTTTTCAAACTCCACCAACAACACGAATGGATATGGAAAACAGAATTCGAAACTCAATTCGTCAACTATCAGCGGTAGAAATCGAGGCTGCGGTTCTGTCGACTCAAGAAAGACTGGAACAATGTGTGGAATATGACGGAAGGCAATTTGAACACAGAAGGCATTAATCTTTTTTCAAAATCGGTCCTTTTCAGGACCACAACTTTATTTAAAAGGAAAATCGCTTATAAATACGAAAACGTGCGACTTAAAATCACAGCACTAAATAAACTGACATTTCTTGTGAATATTTTAGAGAGGAGTTTGTCTTTTATTTCCATGGCCTACTACTTGCCTTCTTATCGAAAGCAACCGATGCATTTTTAAATGGGGATATATGAATTTTCCTGGTTTAGTATTTTTTTTTAATAATTTGAGTTAGGAAAAAGATATTAAGATGCGGTTTGCGCAGGCTTATTGGTTGGTCATTTGTCTATTTTCTAGTCTAAAAAAAGTCATATCATCGCATTTAAATTTTTTGAGAAAATCCAATATTTTGGTTATAATATCGAATAACGCCCTCTATCGGCGGCCGTGTAGGTCGCAACTGTCATGATTACGAGAAACCTAAAAGCCCAAGAAATGCTCTTTTCAATGATACCAAATTTATCCAAATCCATTAAGCCGTTTCGAAGTTACAGGCATTTATTTAAAACAACATTCAAATACCCCCCACCACTTTATTTCGAAAGATAGAGAAAAATTGTTTTTACAAAAAATGTTCGACTTTAAGTTAACATTAAAACGCAAATACTTTTTTGTTACATTCATTGGGGAAAATCGCGAGAAACGTAACTTTATGTAATTCAAGATGGTGGAAACGCCCACTGGCGGCCATCTTGGAAACTTGAAAATAATTTCCAGCATTTTCCCTTGCCCACTTTACCTATAAAATTTTTTACCGTAGCTCTCTACGATCACTAGTTTCTGAGATACAGCCGCTTACCTCGCTTATTTGCCCACCCTGTACAACTGGTTTCTCTATCGTTATTGCTTTTTTTCTTGTCAGCATTTTCAAAAGGTTATTGAATTTTGTCTATTTATAGCGAAACAGGCTCGACATCTTCGGTATTTTTTATATTTTCTTTAATTTATTTTCATTATCTGTTTAAGGGATGACCCAAGGATCGAAAATGAGGTTGATCTTGGGGCAAAGGCAGGTAAAACATTGAGAAATTGCTTTAGTAATTTAAGAAAATTTTTAAATTTTTCCATCGTCGACAGCAACTTCGAAGACAAAGGTAGTGGCCCAAAAACGGAACCTTGAGGTGGCAAGACATCTAGAAATATAAAAAGGTTACCTTATCACGTTCGACTGCCAGGCCGGATCGGCGTGGTGACCGTGGGGGGCGAGTGCGGTATGGGCGACGTACAGGGGGGCGCGGACGTCAGCAGCGTCGTCGGTGGATGGTGGTAGATGGACATGGAGGGCAAGTAGACGGGCGGATACAGCGCTGCTGCGGTCGAGTACAGTCCCGTGTACGGGATGTGGTGGTAGGTGTATCGGGCGGCTTCAACGGCTGCCAGGGCGCGGAACTCCAGAAATGCTGCAACATAATTTAATTAGAATAAACGTACTTCCCTGGTTTCTAATAAAAAATGGTATCTATGTTAAATTACATACATCAATTCATACAAAATTAGCGTGCATCTGTAAAATTACATTGTGCACGTAAAATTACATTGTGCACGTAAAATTACATTGTGCACGTAAAACTACATTGTCCACGTAAAATTACATTGTGCACGTAAAATTACTTTGAGCGCATAAAATGACATTATGTACATAAAATTACATTGTGCACATGAAACTGCATTGTGCATGTAAAATTACATTAAGCATGTGAAATTACACTAAGCGTGTGAAATTACGTTATGAATTATTAAGTTGCGTTTATGTAATTTTACACGTATGTTAGAATTACGTAATTTCTGCTTTCATTGGGTCACACAAAGCTACCTAATATAAAATCATGATGAATACCATTCCTTCTCAATATTTCTCCTTTAGTTAAAGTTAGTTAAATTTGAACTGTTAACTTTCAGGTTATGTAGGACCGACCGATATAGGTTAAAATGATTTCTTAGTCTTAATTTGTAAACAAATTGGTGATATTTCCTTATTTAGGTTTATGCGATTTATTCCACTACTAAGTCGGCGGCAAACTATTTTTTAATGTACATTGCGCTAGAATATATAATCGCACCAGCATACAGATAGGAAGGTTAAGATAAAATACATCTAAATTTAGTAGTAGTTTTGTCTAGATTTACATAAAAATGTTAAGAATATATAAAACATGAATATTAATATAATTGAAAAGGTAGTATTAAAAAGAAATCCTTTGTAGGTACGCGATAGAAAGCAAATTTACTTGAGAACACGAAGGTAATATTATAATCGAATGTAATTTTACACGATGGTATTTGTATTGAGTAAGTGTTAAATACATTTTTATGTGTAATAACTACTGTAAATTTATTTACTTATCTATATATTACTTATTTTGTCGCGTTATTTGTATTTGTAAAATTACAGGGAAATTACATTAAGCCTCTCTTACGCCTTTTGCATTTACAAAATTAATTTAAGACGTAAATTTGCATGAAAAAACAATGAGCACAAATACATATAATTACAATTGCAGTAATGAAATAAAATAATGCAATGCGCGAAAAAACAAGAAAAACACGAAGTGATGTAGTCAAATGTAATTTTACAAGACGGTATTTGTATTAATTGCGATAATTTTTTACATTTTTATGTATAAAAACTATTGTAAATTTGTAAAATTGAATGAGTAAATTTCCATAATTCCTATCATCGACTATTTTAATCAATGTAATTAATACATATAGAATAACTTTTAATATCCAATTTGTAATCTTTGAATTTTACATTACGCTTGGCGTGACATTGGCGCCTCCGCCATTTTATACACTCTTGGCGCCATCAAACTCAAGATGGGAAAATTATTTATTTTTTAACATTATATAAAAATTAAAATTGCAATTTCATGACAATGCAAGTCAGTGTTAATGTAAATCTGTTTCATAACTATTCAAATTTGAATAGTATTAAAAAAATAAGTAGTAAAGAAAACCTTTTAATTAATTGTGTTTAAAATCAATTTAAATATGTATTGCAGTTTATGAAAATGTAATGAAGAAATGAGTAAAAGTAAGAGAATAAGTAAGAAATCATAATTTTAGCGTGTTGCACGTGTGTGTTAAGTTTGAGAATTTAAATAAGATACAGTGACCACTACGTTCACTTCAAAACTTTGTATCCCAGATCATCAACAAAATCATCATCAACATTATAATCAGCGTCATCAACATCATTAAATAAGCCTCCACAGATCTCAAGAACTAAGCTATTGGTTCTATAAAAAAAAAAAACAGTGTTAAAAGGAACTGCGACGTTCAAGCATTTTATTGCATGAATTCGTTCAAAGGGTCATTTTAGATTAAAAAAAAACGGGGAGTGCTATTAAATTAGAGGGTGGAAATTGAAGATAGGGGTAAAAATGCACCTCTTTTAGTTTTTTAATTGCAGCTCGAAAACGAACATCGAAATGAATTATTTAAAAAATTTAAAAGAAAAATTTTATGCAAAAATTCGTTGATAAACAAAGCAAAAAATTAGGTTTTTTGATTTTTTTACTTTTTTGACTCTAATTTTTCTTTTAGTAGAAGTAGGCAAAAAAGTTGCTGTACAAAAAACTAGATGAAAGTCCCTTCAAAATGATAAGTTTTCAAAAGATTTGGACTAATATTGACTATTATAACCGATCAAACTTAAACATTTTTTAGATTTTCGTCGTTTTTACATAATAATGATTATAATTCGTATTATTTTTACAACAAATTGCTTCTTTATTTAAAAAATATTTCAAAAGTTTTATTTGCTAATAATAAATAAAGATTTTCACAATTTATAGTCAAAAAAGTAAATAAAATAAAAAAATCTTAATTTTCTATTTTTTTTTAAATTGTTTATTAACGATTTTTTGCAAAAAAATTTTCTTTTAAAATTTTTAAATAATCCATTTCGATGGGAAATTCAATTCTCTAAATAATTTTTCCAATGAACCCCAATCTTCAATTTGAACCCTCTAATAGCACCCCGCAGTTTTTCCATTTTTAATTACTCTTCGAACAAGTCATGTGATGAAAATCCTTGAACATCTTATTTCCTTCCTATTTTGCAAAAAGTGACAATTAAAACGTATAAGGGTAAACGCGACGAAAATCGAAAAATTTTAAGTTTGAGCGGCCATATATCAGTCAATTTTCATCCAAAAATACTTTACAACCTACTATTTTGAAGGAAATTTTATCTACTTTTTTTCTATGAAGCAATGCCTATACCTATCTTTACTCAAAAAAAAAACTAGAGGCAAGAAAGTAAAAAAATAAAAAAACGAATTTTTTGCCTTTCTTCAAATTGTTTATTAACGAGTTTTTGCATAAAATTTTCCTTTAAAATTTTTTAACTAAGCCATTTCGATGGGAAATTCAATTCTTTAAGTAATTTTTCCTATGAACTTAGTGAAATTTTGCTTCGTTTTCGAGCTACAATTAAAAAACTGAAAAGGGTGCAATTTCACCCTCTCCGATTTCCAAATCAAATAATCAATAACCTAAACTATGTGTATTCATATAAGAAAAATACTTATGACAGTTATTCAACCAAAAGTGGACTATCAAAAATTTCTTTCAAAGACACGAGAATTTGCGACACAGTCGAAATTAGCCATGAATAATTAATTTTGGCGGCCACTCGCGGTTTCACTCATCCTGTACCGACCCCCACCGCCTCTTAAAAGTCATCTTAAGCACGCCGGCGGTCAGCTATGCAATACAATATGCCATTTTATCATTGTTTTACGATTACGGCAGGGCCAAAGGTAATCTTCAAGCCGAGTTAAAACTGTGGTTATTTTATGGGTCCTAATTTAAAAAGCAAGCAGCCGTGCTGAGCTAGCCGCATAAAATTTATGGCTGCATAAGATTGCAACTGGATCTAATAAAGGTCAGTCGGTATCAGCCGCCCTTAAAGCGCGCCCTTATCTGTAATGACTACGGCTTTATCATATATCGATTTTGTGTAAATCCAGACTACGTCTACGGAGGAGTGGTGACATTAGTATTAGTATTTTATGAAAGTCAGCAATCGATGTATCTCTTTTTAGCAGCGTAAGCACCTAAGTTAGAAATGTGAAGAAAACGACGGAATAAATTTCAGGGTCTTTTTCCTTTATTTCTTGGGAATTTTGCCACCAAAAAAAAAATGTAAAATAATTATGAAGTCGATCCTTGCACCAAAACGTTATTTTTATGAAAATAGTTTTGCTATTCAAAAATATCACAATGAAAAAAGCAGACAAATACATATAGTCCACAGTACAGGCCCCCTCTAGATAGTTGATTACCACATACTTTATAACTCCTGAAGAGCTTCGTTTTGACGAGTCTACCACACTTTTCCTCTGCGACTTTTCTCGATTCCTCCGCTTTTCCACTCGGAAAAGTCCAAAAACATGGCAATTTCCCGGGGTCTTGAAAAGTCAAGACCACATCTTTTATTTTTAGCTTAAGTTACTGGAAGTTTTGTTGCAAATGCCGATTTAAATTTGTCCGACAGAAATTTTTCCGACATTGACGTGTCTACCGGTCGAAACATGCCAAAATAACAGGGTATTGAAAATCGATTACCACATAGGTAATTTTTAGTGAAATTAATTGTAAATAATTAATTCAGTCAAAAAGTATTATTGTCCGACAAATTTCAAGCCGCGTTTTTTCAGTCCGACAGCTGGAAATCGGAATTTTCACGGGGTATGAAAAATCGATTACCACATATCTAATTTTCATTTTTTCCACTTTTAAATTTACTGTACAAAATAGTGATATAAGTGTCCGACGATTTAATGTCCGCAAATTATTAAAAAATCAATAAATCAATAAACGTGATGAAATTTAATTTTTTCACTCCAAAAATTTCATATTTATAAATGTTATTAATTATTATTATGTAAATTATTATTTGTTTCAAATAAATAATTATAATATTGCTTATTTTATACTTAAAAATTTAAAAGTTATAAACAAATGAAGTTATTTTTGAGGCGATTAATACGATCTTAGTGCATAATGCATTATTTCTAAATAAATTAATATCATACTTGATATAAAAATCCTTTTTTCTCTTTCAAGTTTTCATACGCGTTTGTTATTTTTCTTTACAAAAATTTTCCTACTTTTCTAAAAGAAAATCCCAAAACTTTTGCATATTTTTTTTTACACCGTACATACTTTTTTGAAATCGTTTAATTCTTTTCTCGATATTTATTTGGCTAAATTAAGCATAAGAGATTTACAATTACAAGAATAAAACGAAAAATATATACAAAGTGTTTCAGGAAGACCTCCCGTAAATACAGGGGGTACGACAAAATATGAAAATTTTTTTGCCTTACGAACTATATGTCTATCTCTTGTTTTCGAGAACAGAGAGACAAAATAAACTTTTTCAAATAGA